TCAAGCACAGCAGGGTGTATCGGAGTCGGATACTCAAAGTTCTCCGGCATCCTTGCCGCCGAGTCAGGTATCTGGAGTTCCCCGTAGCCGAAACCATCACCGGCATTAATCCGAGTAAGATTTTGGAAGAGAGGCCCTAACTGAAGGCCCAGCCGGTTCAGCTTATCATAAAGTCGCCCCACATGGAGCTCTTTGGTCGGCCTTTCTTGGATAGACAGATACTCCTGCCTGCGTAGTTCCCACTCGCGGGTCGGTTCAGCTGATCCGTCGATCTCATTTGGCTTCGGGGCATAGATCAGCTTCACAAGTCCGGAGCAGTGCTCGATAGCAGTCCCGTCTGAACCTATGGAGAGTAGTGAGAATTGAGTCCAGTGAGCCGTGTTGGCCTTGGTACCCATTTGATGAGGTCTGAGCTGCATCAACGTCTCAATAGCTGCAGCGGGGGAGGTGAAAAGCAGTGGTCGGTGAAAAGTGACATCCCGGAACTGGTAGCCATGGACGGCCTCAGATTGCTTTGCAGTCTGTTGGCAAGCCTCCATAACCATCGTCAACATGGCTGCTCCCGGAAGGACCAGCATTCCCTGGATGCGGTGGTCCATGAGCCACGGGATCTCGACTGGCCTTAGGAAGTTTTTCCAACGAGGAGCGATGGAGTTGTGATCATCACTTGGAACTCCAAGCAGGTCAGTTCTTGGTTGAGTACGAGTACGTCTCCATAGATTCAACCTCGGCTCATGCCAGTATCGTCGTTTGTGATTAAACGGATACCTGGGCAGGTTCGCCAAGGCTTTGGAGCTGCCTGGAGTTTCGGACATGTTATTCACAATCGCTAGGTCCAGCTTGAAGCCCAAGCTCCAGAGTCGTCCAGCTGCGCACAATGCAGTTTCCTTTGCATCGGCGCCTCGGCGGAGAATAGATGCGTAACTGACGGACTCAAGGTATGATTCAGAAGCGGCAGCCAGAATATCCCTGAGTGGCCCCTGCAAGGCAGAGTGAGGACCCAACTCAATGAGGGCGTTGACACTGGTTGTAGCCTTGCGACGATTCTTTGTTGCGCAATGGTTGAGTAAAGCCGTAGCAGCCTCGCTGAACCTTACTGGGTTCAGAAGATTCTTGACCCAATATTCCGCGCTCAGGTCACCATGGGAGATCTCAGTTCCTGTGACAGAAGAGAAAAAGGTGATTTTGGAGGATCCGGCGGGGACAACATCTTGAATCGATTCCAGATACTTCTCGGCGATCACTTTCATATGAGGGGAATGATATGCTGTTTGAACCTTGAGTTTCCGACACCAGACATCGTCTGTCTTCAGCATATTCTCGATTTCTGTCACCGCGGAGAGATCCCCTGATATTGTTACGCTCTGAGGACTATTGATGCAAGCCACGACTGCTTCTCCTTGTGTGAGACGGTCGATGTACTTCTGTGCCGAGGTCTCCGAGATTCTCGCAGCCATCATCGAACCCTTGCGGCCCGGCAAGAGGGACGCCATTGCGGCAGTGTGTACTCCTCGGAAGTAGGCAATCTTCCAGGCGTCCTGTGTACCCAAAGCACCGGCAGCGTACGCGGCGGCTTACCGTCCTGTTAGCAGGTCCGTATGCAAAGGGGCATTCAATTGCAGCAGAGGAGGGAACCTACCAATCTCGCCGCTTGAATGACCGACAACTGCCCTTGGACGCAATCCCCAGTGACTCAGAAGATCTACTAGTGCAATCTGCAGGACAGTACACAATGGCTGAGAGATCTGAGGTTCATTGATGCAACTTTGGTCCTCCGGGCGGTTGAGCTCCTCGAGAGCCGACCAGGGGCATCCCAGTGAGATGAGGTATTTGTCCGCGGCTATTATGCTCTGTTTGAAAATGTCGTACTCCTGGAGCTCCCTTCCCATGGCATACCACTGCGCTCCTTGGCCAGTGAAAACGAAGGCGCAGGAAGGCGACTTGACAGCACGAGGTAACTTGGGGAGCGGTCTTCCCAGCGATGCTAAGAGAGCCTCCGTCGACTCTGCGACGGCAAAGCTCCTCCAATCGAAAACTGTCCTTCTCTCTGACAGAGTATATGCCAACGCAGCGATTTGCGTCGTCTTCTCATATGCCAACCCGTTGTTTTCGGGGCTAAGACTGCTTCGGAGAAATTCCATGTACGTCTGGGCCAGACGCGACAATCCATCCTGCTCGGGTGCCGAGAAGACATACAGCCTCTGCTTAGCAGTATCACCAATCTTATCAAGCGGGAAATCTTCTTCGCCAATCGAGAGCCCCGAATCAGTACTCTCGGAGTGCGGAGTACCGGTTATCCTCTGAGTGTTGTGGTTTCCTGTCAGATTTCTTTCTGTTCTCAGCTGGTCAGCTGTTCAGGTCCCTTGCAGACCGATAGTGGAACAGGGCACAACTTGCCATCAAGGTAGTGGAGCGCGTCATCGAGAATCAGGTGTGCGTTGGTCCCACCGTATCCAAACGAGTTGACACTAGCACGACGGAGGCCGACAGTCGGCCACTGTGTTAGCTCCGTGGGAATTTTTATGTTCCATTCTTCCAAGCGCAGACGAGGATTTGGGGTTTCGAAGCCATGTACAGCAGGTATCATCCCCTGCTCCAAGGCCAGGACAGTCTTGATGACTCCTGCGATCCCTGACGCTCCTTCTAAGTGACCAATATTGCTCTTCACGGATCCTACCAGAAGTGGGTAGTCATGTTCTCCCTTCGCTAAGCCAATTGTCTGTCCTATGGCTGATAGTTCCAAAGGGTCACCGACTGGGGTGCCAGTTCCGTGGGCCTCAAAGTAGGTTGTTTTGGAAAAGTCAAGCCCGGCTGTCTCGTATGTTGACTTGATGAGATTAATTTGCGCTTCGGCGCTCGGTACAGTGATACCGGAGGTTTTGCCGTCCTGATTGATACCGGTGCCCTAGCCGCCGAGTCGCTCAACAGGTGACTCCATGAAAAGGGCAAATATGACCTACTCTAATGACCGCGCGAATGACATCGTTGTCTCGCAATGCGTCTGCCAAGGGCTTGACGATTATAACTCCCATGCCTTCGCCCCGGCCGTAGCCATTGGCTCGGCTGTCAAAGCTGTGGCACTGTCCATCGGGGCTGAGAAATCGCAACGCGGATAATCCACGCCACAGTTCCGGCTGAATTATAAGATTGGTTCCGGCCACGACTGCCTACAGAGACGCGATTAGTATCACCTTCGTAGCTCTCAAATCGAAGCGAAAGTCCATGAGAAGGACAGGTAGCACTGCTGCTGGGGGGCCAGGATGCTTGATACCATTTTACTTTTCCCAGTCCGCAATTCCTGGCAAGCCAGGTGAAGTCCCACCAGACTCGATGAGCATGCGGTGTCAACCATCAGAGACGGGCCTTGCAAATCATAGAACCACGATAGTCGGTTCGCCAGCATGGAGGCACCACAACCAGTTGACGCGTACGGGGACATGGTGTGGATTTCGGCTCCGGATGTCATCTCATAGTCTCTTGTAAAGCAGCCAACCATGCTACCACCAGTAAGCTTTCTGGACATGGCCATCGTTCTGCTGACTCACACTGCGGTTTGACTGCCGGCCACGGATTTGATCGGCATCCCGGCTGGGTGGTCCTGTCAGCGTGTCCGACATACTTTGTCCAGGCTTCCGTGCAACCCACCATTCTCGAACGCCTCGTAAGTGACCTCGAGAAGAATACGATGCTGAGGGTCCATGCCCTCTGCCTCCGCTGCTGTCATTGAGAAGAAGGGAGCATCGAAGGCGGCAATGTCCTCTTTCAGGAAGTGCCCTTCCTTCGTGATGATCTGCGGAGACTTTCAGCATCCTAATCGCCACGAAATATCGGAGACGCTTACAGATCCGTTCCGATCAGCCGATGGATGATAGTGTGCGTCGACGTTGAAGCGATCCGCTGGGATGCGAGATTTAGCCGATCTGGCATTGCTAAGGATATCCCAAAAGCCACTGGCTGAATTCGCCTCGCCAGGGAACCGCCAGCTCATGCCAACAATTGCAAGGGGCTCCAGCTTGTCGCTCATCGTGCTCATCTCAGGATCGCCGAAGCTAAAAGAAGTCTCTTGTATGTGCCTCAGATCGAACAAGTCTCTAAGTATATGGAAGCCAAGACGACTGAACAGTGGTCTAACCTCCCTTCTTCTGAGCGCTGATCGCTTCCCACATCGTCAATTTAACATTTAAGCCTTCCTGGGACATCGGGGTGTTCCAGGATTGATAACCCCATTGTCAACACCATGGGGTGTTGTAATGATGCTGGAGGATTAGCATCTCGGCGTAGTCCACGGTCCCTCCGACTGACGTCTTGACCAGACTGACCTTCATTCTCAGTAGGTACGCCAGAGACGTGGTATGGGATAGATGGATATTGGAGTTTACGCACTAACACCTCTTGCCGGACCAAAGCGCCGTGCCAGGCTCCGGCGGAGGCTTTCCCTTGAGGGATGTCTCAACAACGCTCTAGTGCTCAGCGTCTACAGGGGCGGTCACGGACACTTATTCTTCTGAAAAGACGCCGAACCGACAAACTTCGGGCGTTTGAGCTTGGCGCGTCTTGTTTTAGGGGCAAGAGGCGCTAGTCGTGTCTACCCACGATGAGCCCAGCGTGAAATTGGCCGTTTTGATACCCCGTGAGCTTGATCCTAGTCTAAAACGAAGATATTCTGAGTAAGGCTTGGAGCAGAACCGCTGACTAGACCGTTGCTCGCCTTGGTAACCAGTGGGCTATGATCTAGTGCAAGATGGCCTTGACGATTGCAAGACCGCCTTCTGACGTAGATAGTCGTCGAAGCGGGTGCCTTCAGAGATGAGAGTGTGACCAGTTGACGACGGTGCCGATGACAGCAGCGACGACAGCGTCGACGGTGGCGTGCGGCTTCCGCTCGTGATTCTGTTGCGCTCATAAATAATTGTTTAACTGTGAAAATAAAATCGAGGCAAGTTTCTCTTCTTCCGAAAAGACGATACTTGCGCCGTCTGCCATAATTTTTGTAAGGACCCTTGAGATATAAACGGTTGGTTCAAATAGCTACATGAGCAAAGAGCTGATTGGAAGAGCAGTATCAATTTCTATATCTGTCCGTTGATAAAGGATTTCCGTAGGATAAACGAAAATAGAAGTATACCGACGAGCCATTTGCCTTCCACTTGAGCCCAAACAAGTCTTAAGCATCGCTACCGTAGCCAGGCGTTCCATTCCACTACCCAGGCCTGTCTTTTATCTCTCATCTGCAGCCGCTGCTGTCGCAGCCTCAGTGCGTGCATAGGCCTCCTCTAAGTCCGCAAGCCGCTCCTTGATCGATTGCGGACGGCGTTGGAAGGTGAACAGCGTGGCAACCAGGCACGCAGCCGAGATCCCAGCACAGACTCGCATGTCGATGTTGAACACGTCGATATAGGTCTGCCGAACAAGCAATTGCTGAGTCACGGAGAATCTGAAGATGGCCGTTGGCGAGCGGTAGAAGTCATCCAGCTGCGCTTGAGTCAGCACACCGGTGAGCGCCTCCTGGATCTTGTGGTTGAAGACAATGAAACTGGCTGCGATGCCGACGCTGCCGCCGAAGATCCGCAGCTGCGCAACGACTCCCTGTGCAACGGCTGTGTGGCCCCGTCAGTCTAAGTCGCGCGCAAGCAACAGCGTCTAATGCGTCAGCTACTCACCGTGGTCCTCAAACTCCACCTGCATGGACGTCAGGAAGGTCATCGTGGAGAGACTCAACCCCAGCCCGAAGCCGAGGATTGCTTCGAAGATGTATTGCTGCGGGACAGGGTCCACGGAGTCAGAAAGCGTGGACAGAAGGGCGCTACCGATGAGCATGAAAATGCTGGCCAGGTTCAATGTCCAGAAGGTATTGTTCCTTTTGGCGGAGGCGGCGCCCCCCAGTGCCGAGCCGACGGCCGTGCTTCCCATTAGAGGCAGAAGGAGAACCCCGGACCCGATCGCGTCCTTGAGGTTGACGAGTTGCGCGCGGAGCGGGATGTTGACGATAACGAGCAGCATGACGAACCCGGTTAACATGGTGCTCCTGTTTGCAGAAGCGATTAGTGTAAGTGATTGGGTTCATAGGCACCAACTGCCAACTTACAGGAATCCCGCCAGCATGACTCTATCAGCCAGAAGTCGGAAGGGTAGCTGAGGGCGAAGGTGCCGGAGCTTGGGATGCCTCGACACGATCCACTCCCAGCAGACCAGTGCTATCCATGCAAGACCAGAAATCACAATGGTCAAGATGACGGGAGGGCTCTTCCACGCGTAGACGCGGATGGCCGCCTGGTTGAGAATGAACACGAACAGTACGCTGCCGAGCATGATAAGCAGAGTACCAAGGTAGTCGAGATGCTTGAAACGGGCATTCTTCGTGGCGTGGAAATCGCTCGGCCAGACCAGGAATAGGGCAACGGCCGGGACAAAGGCACAAGGACCACTAAAGCTCGACAATCAGCCACTGGTTCTTGTTAGCGGGGGACAGAGGCAGCTCACTTGATCCAGAATGCCCATCGCCAGGAGGTATAAGTGGTTAGAAGCCCACCTATGAGCGGTCCACTGATACCCGCCAGCGCCACAATGACCCCGACAATCGATGAGATGATGGGTAGTAGCGCCGGTGGACTGATTTCTGGATAGATTATCATCGCCATGGCATACAGTCCGGAACCACCAATACCCTGGGCGGCTCGGAAACTGATCAGTTGGTTGAGATTCTTGGAAGCTGCACACGCCATGGACGCGGCGAGGAAGATGAGAAAGCAGGTGAAGAGGGTGATCTTCCTGCCAATCACATCTGACACCCGGGCTATAAATACGGCGCAGCCTGTGCAAGAAAACAATAAGCCCGTTTGCCGTTACTGAGGCACAAGAAGGATAGATATGCTTACCGACATAGGACAATGTGTAGGCGAGGACAATCCACGACGACATTCGAAACCCGCCAAACTCATCTGAGATGGTATAGAGCATCGTCGAGACGATGGTCGTATCCATCAGTGACAGGAACAGACCGACGGCGATGCTAGTGGTGCCTTGTGTTCAGCATCCTCGAGCACGATGCATCTCCAACGCGTAATATCGCGTATTTATAGGACCTTACCAGAGGAGGATTATGGCCAGCCGCCAGGTTGCGATGACTGGTCTGGTCACCTCGAAGTCTCTTGAAGAGCCATTGTCAGTCTCGCTGCTCTTCATGGTAAATTGGGACTCCCGCATCTCTTTCATTTTTGATAGCTGGTGGTGATGCACAATCACGCAGGATAATGGAAGGTGTTTGGTCGCAAAGGGGTTTCGGGTCATGCATGGCTCATATTGGGGATATATATGTGTCTGCCTACAGTCGTGGGCAGACAATGGACTGGTTCAGCCGATGAATGTGACTCCATGTGCAGCTGAGCTAGCACAGCTGTCGACATGGTCGTGCGCGTAGTTTGAGTGCAGGGATTGTCTATGGTTAGTGCGTACGCTATATTGCAATTGATGGAGGAAGAGCCAACAGGCCAATTTTCTAGGTCTCGGCCACTTTTCACACCCTGGACGCCGACAGCCGCCATCGCTACTGCTGTTGGCTGATTGGTCTGCCTGCCCTCCAAAATTATTAGATTTAGACCGAGGCATTCAGATTAGTAGTATATTTTTGATAGCATGATGTTAATCAAGCAGGCTGAACTCTTCTCGCGCCGTATCCGCAACAAAACCTCCCGTCTGTCTTTGTTCGGCCGGCCGGGACATCCCATATTTATAGAAAGTTCAAATCCCTCGCTTTGCAGAAACTGAACTGATCGGCAAGCTCTTTCCTTGTGCATTCGAAACAAGCGAACCTTTAGATCACCAAGCAATCCTTCAGTGAACCACCATGATCGCTAAGCAGCTCCTCGCCGTTCTCCTCTCCATTGGCGTCTCCGCCAGTCCCTTGGCCTTGCGAGACGCCTCCACCGTTCTCGCCGATTTGAGCAGCATCTCAGACCATCTGTCAACGCTCAGCACGACAGTCGCGAACTTCGACGGCACTTTAACCGGTGCCGTGAGCGTCCAGCAGGATGAAATGACTCTGTCGGATGCGCTCAACAAGACCGTCATTGATCTGACTGCCTCCCCTGTGTTCGGGGCCGCCGAGAGCACGAGCGTGACCAAGGCAGTGACAGGCCTCGAGACGAGCATCGTCACGGTCCTCGACAAGATCATCGGCAAGGTACGGCCGACTGAACGCTGCGCTGTCTGAGATCTCATTACTGACGATGTTGTGAAGAAATCCTCGTTCGCATCTGCGGGCGTGACCAGCGTCGTCTTGTCGGATCTTCAAGCCCTCCAGGGTTTGACTGATGATCTCTCGACGCAGCTGCAGCGGAAGGTCACGGCAGGAGATGCGTCCACCATTGCCTCGGAAGCTGCTCAGCTGGATGCGGTTTATGCAGTTGCCATCTCTGCATTTTCCTGAACTAATTGGCCAGATCGGTCTGGGTTCATTCGGAGAGGAACGAGAATCAGTTCAGGGGGTGAAATGGGGCTGAGTTAGACTTCGCGTAGATAGAAACAACAATTTCAAGCTGTCTGTAGGCATCTATCTCGATCAAGAGAATGTAGAACGTCCTGGTATCTCCGTTCACGGTAATCGGACCCTTTGTCCTAACCATCGAGCTGACTCCTTTCTTGCTGCAGGAATCTATCCTGCAAAATGCTCCGACGGCCATGCATAAGCCAGAAGAAAGTACAAGTAAGGCAGTTTACAAAGGAGCCGTGGGAAGAGTTAAATCTCAAAATGTCAAACGAGTCAAACAACAGCATGACTGACTAGGCTATTTGAAGTGCAGATGGTACTACCAAGACTCAGATGATATATTATTCTCCTTCCAAAGAAAGGCAGGGGCAAAAAGCAGGATCCGACTTCGCCCATTACTCTTGGATTTACTGCAGCTGAGCCATTCGGATGGCCCACTCGATTGCAAATGCCACTGACTGCAGGTCGCTCGAGGTCCGAGGCACTCGGTGGCCCCCAGAAATCTCCACTACTCGAGCCAGGCTCTTGTTGCACAGCCTGGCTTGCAATTCGCTCTGCCGCCGCAGGGGATCCAATCGACCGATGACGTGCACGGTGGGGATAGAGATGCGCTGTTTGTTCACTAGAGGATGGTAGACCCGCGGGAAGCCTTCGTCACCTCCCCTCTGCTTCCATAGTTTCTGGGCAGTCCCGTCGTGGCCGGCTGCGTTCTCAGACAGCTGACGAACGAAACCAACCACGTCGTTCGCCAATGCTCTTTTCTGGCCCGGTAATAGCAGCATGACGCGGCGTTTCGGAACCTTTTTCATCTTGCTGTTCTTCTCTTCTTCCACTTCATCATCCTCTTCGCTGACATTTGCCATGTTACCCTCAAGCCCTGGCTCGTCAGATGACCTGTAGTATCGGCCGTACTTGTCGATAATATCCGCGTTGAACTTTGGGTCAGGGGATATCGAGAGCACGGAGCAAAGAAAGACCGCAAAGCGAAACGGTGGTGGTTGATGGGGCCGATTGATCTGATGGTGGTATAGGATGGACAGAGCCAACGAAGCACCCTGGCTGAAGCCAATCACTCCATCGAAAGGTCCTTCTTCATCGATGATATCCCATACAAGGTCGCTCGCTGTCTTGACTTCGCCACAGGATAGACCCTCGTACCAACTATAGAAGGGTCCTTTTTCAATAGCCGGCAGTCCTACTCAAGATTACCAGTGAGATTCTATATCCCCCTTTTCACCTTCTTCTGTCTCTCCTTGTGTTGATCTCTCTCCCCGTCCCTCAACAGATACATACCTTTTGCCGGTCCACATCTCAGAGGACCATCAACAAAGACATAATTGTGAGTTTCGCCGATCAGACTGCAGATATTTGATATCTGCTTCTCAAATATCACTGCAGACGTTCCCCTATCAAGTACGATGCATCGTAAGCCGATGTCGCATGCACAGAATGTACATAAGAAAAGGTAGCAGAGATGGCAGGCTCACCAAGGATGGAGACAGAGAATCTTCATACTGGTCTGTTCCGAGTACTTCTCATTGACAATGCAAGACTGGTTCGAAGAGACAACCTACTTGAAAGTATAATCTCAGGCAGAACCATTCTGCATGCTTTTTTGGAAGTGATCTCAATCAGAAGTAGTAGAGATATCCAGCCGCTGACGAACCACGAGGCCACATAGAATCCAATCGGCCATTTAATTCTTCTGATTAAAGTGGCCGAAGCGGATATTCCGTTCGGCGATATCAGTCCCTGAGCCTACAGTGAAGCACGCTAATGTTAGTGGAGGCCATTCCTCCTTTGCTCAGCTTCGCTGCTTGATATGCTTATGATATAAATTCAAATCCAAGCCAAATCTGGAACTGAACGCAGCCTATCCTGAGGACAACGATTGGTGAAGCAGTTGCTCATAATAGGCCCCGTCAAAAGGGGCCCATTGGCTAACAGGTTGAATTCCGGCGACGCGCATTCATCACCATTTCGCCCAGTGGGTCGTAGATTTGCTTACTTATCCTTCGACGTGCTGGCTTACCTGGGTGAGAGGCTGAGGGCAACGCAAAACAAGTTCATTGGCCTGAATCAAGGATACCAAGGGTTCATTTTGCTACTCAACTGCCGCGCGAAAGTTTGGCCCGGCAAAGTCAGGGCCCACGAATGAACACTGAATGCAGAATTGATCGACAATCTTACTGAAGATCCTCATATATCGGAGAGCCATAAAACTGTAATTTCTATCTACACTTCTTTAGGGCAAGTGGAAGTGGACATCGTCGCCAACGGTCGCCTCATCAGGAAGAAGCTAGCAGTCTGTTTTCTGTAACGTAAGTGGTAGCGGCTCAAATCTCGCCGATGAGGCTTCCAACGTCTTTCCGACGCGGGAACAGGGAAGAAATGCTTGGTACTGCTTGAAAACGATTGCGAAGTCTTCAACTTCTATGTTCGGGGTGATAATATAGTACACAGCGCCAAGACAAGGACCAAACAAATGTCATGCTTTCTCAAAGACAACCGGAAATATCACGTGTGTATCATGTGAATTATGTCTGTTTACAGGCTCCAGTGCTTTTAGCATCACCACAGCGTCAACATCACAACATCACCTGAGAACTATGATTATTCTCTTGCCTGGTTAGGCCACAATTGGAGGGGTTCTCCATTTAACTAGCTGGTCTAGTCTGGCTAGAAGTCGATTCGAAACACAAAAGTAAATCATGAAACCAAAAGACGCACGGGGCTCGGGCTACTCAGCACGGTGCTGTCGAACTTCCTCCTTCCTGTCCCCCGATCTTCTGAGACATTGGTGGCGGGGAGCCCGTTTCAGAATCGTCACAGAGTCAATCTGTACTTAACTCATTGCCTAGTCGCTTTTTCTCCTGAACTGAGTCGGGAGGAGCATTTAACAACAACTCGACGTGGGATCAGTATTCAGTCACGTGACCTCTGGTCATAAAGATAGAGGTGCGTTTGTCAAGCCCATCACACACGAAGACACGATCATGCCTAACGTAGACCTGGCGTGAAAGGGTTTTATCAATCTCACCCGCTTATTGACGGATGAAATGGAGCTATCGAATAGTAAGGCAGATTTTTGCCGAAATAGGAGCTGGACTCGTCTCGTCTTAAAGGGCTGTTTACTCATTTTAGCCTTAAGGTGTGCCCGTCCGGAACAATATGGAGTCGTGAACCCCCACGAATAGCGGGAATGATGTACATCGGTAGAGTCCAGATCAAAGGATATTTGGCACTAGGTTCTATTTCACGAAGACTGTGGGGCCGCTGATACTACCTCGATGGCAAACCAAGGTTGATTGTGGAGGAGTCAGGGATGAATAGTCTACTCGGCCGACCAAAGGGGGTCCCCTGAAGGTTGAAGGATGGAGTAACCATACGGAGGCTCGGAAAGTGAATCATCACAAGTACCGAGACTCTGCTTCGCTTACTTTGAGCCTAATTGCACCGTTGAGGAGGATCGGTCCTCCCTAATAATAGGCTTGGGAGGATTTTCTCGTTCCGGCAGTGATCAGAGGCGGTCATGTCAATCGCCATGCGCTTGTCGGAGAGAACGCCATCGGCTCTGCAGCGCTCCAATCCGGCCTTGAAGCTTGAGTAGGTCGCTATTCCGGTTGGAGAAGGAGACCGTCGGCCTGTAGCAGTCTGGACGTTCTTCATGGACTTCCATCACACACTACTCCTGCGATCCTTGGAACGATGTGGTGGGAAGTCACTTGGCCTAACAACATCCCTGTGTCTGCCTTTGCAGATCTATGAAAGACAGCCATGCTTCCTCGTTTCTTTAAATCAGCGTCACTCGCTAGGCCAAGTCCTTGTGTACGTACTGCATTTTTTTCTCTCTCATTTGGCGTCGACCCGCAGAGTATCTTGGTCCGCTCGATCCGCTTTGCACAAACCAACAGACCACTCAGGCTTTATTCGACCATTCATCAGCATCATCACTTGTTATCGCTAGAGTGGCCGGTCTCTAGCCGCGTTTTAGTGCTTCTCTCTTCTTTCTCGCATATTTTGCTTTCCTTCCAATCTTTCTCTCTTTACCACGCCTTTCTCACCTCTCAGATCGGTTCAGACACCCGGTAGATGTTTTCATCTCATCCATGGCTGTTATAGTTGCCTGTCGATGACCATCCTCAGGACAACGTGATGAGGGGATGGTCAGTCAATGTCCCTTGTATCCTGTCTCTTGGTGCCTTTGCTTGTCAGTCGCACTATTTTGTCTTGGCCGTCGCTAACATGGTGCGATGTCTCTTAAAGTCTCACTTGTCGCCAGCGCCATCTGAAATGTAAATATCACTACTATTCTCGAGCTGCACGGCTAGTCTAAGAGGTCTAGATATCTGACAGCGAACTTTAGGTGATAAAACTGGTACGGAATGTCTGCGTTGTCAGCGATCAGGGCGGAAGTGCATTCCAGCACCAACAAAACCGGAGGAGATCACTTTCCGACACGGTCAGAACCCATCTCTGAGGCCAAAGGGTCCCCCTCGCTATGGAGAGAGTGACTTGACTTTTCCTGGCGACCAGGTTTGGGTCAAAACTCCCCCAGAAGGTACGTCCAACCCCGAAGTTTTCATTATTCTCATGTTTGAAACGAGGAATGGGCCAGCACTGACACTGATGGGGTGTCTACCAATCATTCAGTCGATTTCGAAGACGAGACCGACCGCACGGCTGCTGATTATCATGTTATTCCGGTAGAGAGGCCAACATCCTTCCTTGAGGTGGTGCCTGAAGGTCGATCCTCGTCTGGTGCAGCATTCCCTTCATCGGCGATCGTCAACGCTGTGAACCCTTCTCCTTCCCCAAGTATTCCACGCTGGTCGGGGATTGCAGGACCGTTTACTCCCAATGTGACCGATTCTCTTCTAACCCCAGACGCCCTAGTCAGCCGTCAGAAACTGGCCAGTCTCAATGAAGCCTTCCTTCTACGGCATTTCCGAAACTCCTTGGGTGCATGGGTACTTTCCTATTCTCTCGATCTCGTGAGCCATCTGGCTAACTACAGTTATCTAGCTGGACGTGAGCGACCATGAAATGC